TACCTTCTAAGAACACATGCACGCAATGCAATCACACTTATCCCCATGAATTTCCTCAAGATTGACGCCTTATAGCTATGTATAAAATTAAGAGCTGAGGTGATGAAGTCTTACCTCCTGGGATGAAGATTTTGGTGCTCCACTTGATTATCTTTAATGTTTTTAACAAGGATTTGTGGAGCACTTTTGATGAAGGGCACTTCCCCTCTCTTAGACCCTCTCTCTCACTCTAAAAGCACCAGGAAATAGGCTCAAAATGAGCTATTGCACAGAATATAACGACAGGGGGTCAGGTTTACAATTTAGAAATATGGATCCCCGACTAATATCTGCGATCGCATATGCGATCATAAAATTGACATGCGACCCGTAGAATGGATTGCAAAAATGCTCCCAAAAACATGAACAATCTGCCTGGGTATGCGACCAGAATGCAGTCCGCGTACCCGTTCCGCGGTCGCAAAATGCACCACAGAACTGCTCCTAACAAAAGTTCCAAGGGGATTATGTGATGACTATGCGTCCCGTATATTGATTATGCGATTGCATATTTGGCCGCATAGTTGACCTCAAAATTAACCTTCACACTGCCTGACTCTGCAGTGACTATGTGGTCTGTATAGCTATTATGCGACCATAAAGTTGATCGCAGAATTGCACTTTTATGGAAAACACTATTCTTTAACTTTTTAATGCACAGATCAATCCAAAGGGTCCGAACCGCGGCGAGCTTGCGAGGTTTGAAGAAATTTATGAATTTCTAACATATGGTCCTAACTTGGCATCACAAGACTTGGGTTTTTGAGTAGAAATTTCACGGGGCCTTATATCCTCCCCCACTTAAGATCATTTGTCCTCGAATAAGGATCAAGGTTCACTTATTAGCAATCTTTATACAACTTCAGTTTTCACAACATGAAACATATCCACAGCCCCAAATTTGGCTAACTCCCTAAATTTCCAAAAATTTCGTCAGAGATTCCTTTGTAACTAGGCCTATCCACCTGTCAGAGAGCCTCAGGAACATATCCTAACAGCAGGTACACATTCCATAGACATAACATAACTCGTACAATACTAACCATGGCCGCATAGGCAATATATAACCAAAATAGGACAGTCTTACATATATCAAATCAAAAGATAATAGTTCATGAGGCTAAATGCATAAAAGCTATTACATGACTATTCAAACAAATATGGGTACTTCTTTTTCATTTCATCCTCGGCTTCCCAAGTGGCTTCCTCAACTTGTTGGTTCCGCCATAACACTTTCACGGAGGCAATTTCCTTATTTCTCAATTCCGCACTTGCCTATCAAGGATGGCAACTGGAACTTCTTCATATGACAGTTCTTCATTAACCTCAATAGTTTCAACTAGCACAATAGTGGACAGATCTCCTACTACCTTCTTCAACATAGACACATGGAAGACCGGATGTACCAATGACATCTCGGGTGGCAGCTTGAGCTTGTATGCCACCTGACCAATCCTTTGAATGATTTTGTACGGTCCGACATACCTCAGACTTAATTTCCCTTTTTTTCCAAATCGCATGATACCCTTTGTAAAAGCACCAGAAATAGAGAAGTCGAAGCACTGGTTTTGCTATTGTTTCTCTCTTTTTATTGATACAGAATCTTTGGATGAAAATATATACAATAAGGCTATAAAATTTGATAAAGAATGAGAGATACAGTTACACTAGGATACAAGTTAAGAATAGCTAAAACCTATCCCTTATTTGACTGGGAAGGACACAGTCGCACAGCTGAAAGCGGCTTTGTCAAGACATCGGCCAATTGATCTTTAGACGACAATAATTGTACCAGGAGATCCTTCTTAGCGACCCTATACCGAACAAAATGAAAATCTATCTCGACATGCTTTGTGCGAGCATGAAAGACTGGATTAATGGAGAGGTAGGCTGCACCAATGTTATCACACCACAAGATAAGACCTTTGGGAAGGTGCAACCCAAGCTCATTAAGGATAGACTGAATCCAAGTTAGCTCTGCCGCAACATCAACGAGTGCCTTGTATTCTGACTCAGTGGAGGATCGAGCCATAGTCTGTTGTTTCTTTGAAGACCACGAGACAAGAGCATCACCAAGGAAGATGGCATATCCTCTAGTCGACTTATGATCATCTAGGGACCCTGCCCAATCCGAGTCAGTGAAAGCCTGAAGAAACAATGTGGAGGAGCACAGCATGTGAAAATAGAAATGTTGAGTGTTCTTTAAATAGCGTAGAATACGCTTAACTACAGTCCATTGATTGAATGTGGGATTATGCATAAATTGGCAAGCTTTGTTGACGACAAAGGCAATATCAGGATGAGTGAGTGTGACATATTGTAAGGCTCCAACAATTTTCCGATACAAAGTGGCATCATGGAATAGGGGACTGTCACCAACGTGGAGCTTCAAGTTCACTGCCATAGGTGTGGAAAGTGGTTTACAGCTTTGCATATTTGCATTTTTGAGAAGAGAAGTAATGTACTGCTCCTGAGAGAGGGTGATACCGGCAGATCCATGAGAGACTTGAATTCCAAGGAAAAAACTTAAGGGACCAAGGTCACGAATTGAAAATTCTGCACCAAGTTTTGAGAGCATGCTTTCTAGAAAGGATGAATTGTTTCTAGTGACGATAATATCATCTACATAGACCAAAATATAAGCCACGACACCATGAGCTCGATAAATAAACAAGGATGTATCTGATTTTGAAGTAGTGAACCCAGCAGTGAGAAGGAACTTTAGGAGACGCATATACCATGCCCAAGTGCCTGTTTGAGACCATAGAGGGATTTCTTAAGTTTACAGACATGATTCGAATACTGAGGATGTATGAAGCCAGAAGGTTGTGACATAAAGACTTGTTCTTGAATCCCACCATGGAGAAAGGCATTTTTCACATCTAATTGACGCAAAACCCAATTGTAAGATGCTGCCAAGGTAAGAACAATGCGAATGGTAGCCGGCTTAAGAACAAGACTGAACGTTTCGTAGTAGTCATGGCCCTTAAGTTGGTGAAACCCCTTAGCGTCTAAGCGAGCTTTATAGCGCTCTATCGCACCAGAAGAATTTCTTTTGACACAAAATACCCATTTGCACCCAAGAACATTCACTGAGGGATCATAAGGAACTAATGGCCAAGTATCATTTCAGAGTAATTCATCCATTTCAGATGCCATAGCAGCCCGCCATTCTTTATATTTGGAAGCTTCAGTGAAACTGGACGGGTCATATGCGGGAGGGGGTAATGAATATGAGGTAGTTGCCAAATTAGAGGACGGGGGCATGTGCCTAAGTACCATATGATGTGAGCATTGAGGAAGGGCTTTGAGCCTATTGGTACGGGTTGGAGGGGGCAGTGAAGCTGGGGAAGAATCTGGGAACATATCATAGCTACTTAAGTCGACAACAAGAGGTAATCCGAGGGATAACGTGTTGGGAACACCTTGGAGGGAAGTTGGTTGTGGAGTGGGAGAATGTGAAGAAGATGTGGGACTAAATATGGGGAATGGACTGGGAGTATGATCGTGATTTAAAGAGGAGGAAGAAGAGTCTCCTGAATTAATGGTAGGATGAACTAGTGAAGGAGGAGGTGATTTAGTGGGATTAGGCAATACTGGAGGAAGAAATCTAACGGGAGAGGATTGGTGAACAACCATTGATGGAGACACAGAAACTGGAAGGGAAGCCCATATTGTAGTAAATGGAGACTGATTGGTGCAGGGCCAAGGATCGATGGTTTGGCAAATGGAAATATGTGTTCATCAAAGCAAACATGTCGAGTGACATAGACTCGTCCAGTGGATTGATCCAAACAGCAATACCTGAGGAGAGTTGAGTTGTAGCCAAGAAAAACACAAGGTTTGCTTCGAAAATCAAGCTTGTGTTTATTATAAGGTCGGAGGTAGGGAAAACATAAGCAACCGAAGACCTTAAGAAAGGAATAGTCAGGTTTGGAATGATGGACCAGTTCATACGGAGAGAGACCACAAGTTGTAACTGAGGGAAGGCCATTAATGAGAAAAACAACAGACTCAAGTGCGTATTGCCAATAGCTAAAGGGAATTGAACTGTGGGCAAGAAGGCTAAGGCTGGTTTCAACCACATGGCGATGTTTTCGTTCAACTTTGCCTTGTTGCTCATGGGTATGAGGACAAGATACTCGATGAGCAATGCCAAGTTAACTAAGCATAGGTGATAAGGATCGAAATTCCCCACCCCAATCGGATTGAATTGCTTTAATTTTGGTATTAAATTGTCTTTCAACAAGGGTACGAAATCGATTAAATATTGGCAACACATCAGATTTGCGAGAAAGAGGATACCCCCAAGAATAGATCGTGTAATCATCAACAAATACTAGAAAATATCTGTGTCCTTGAGATGAAAGAGTGGGTGCTGGACCCCAGACAACAACATATAATAATTGTAAAATGGAAGAACTTTTATTGATGCTCAAAGGTAAAGACAATTTGTGCGACTTGCCGAGTTGACAAGCACTACAAATAGAATTAAAACTAGAACTAGTACAAGGCAATTTATGTGTCCTAATAACTTGGCAAAGAATTCGTTCATGAGGATGTCCTAGTCGAAGGTGCCAACAAGATGGAGATGCCTTGATAGAGTAAAGAGACGAGGGTGAAGTAGACTTTGGAGTAGAAGATGACCGGAGAGTATAAAGTCCCCCATCACTCTTGCTTGAAAGAAGTGATATCTTGGAAGCCCGATCCTTTACAACAAAATGGCAGGGATGAAATTCAAAGAAAACATTATTATCACGAGTAAAACATTGGACAGAGAGTAAACGTTTAGTGATAGCGGGAACATGAAGAATATTATTTAGACGAAAGAGTCGAAAGGGAGAGGAAAGAATGGCATTACTAGTATGATGAATAGGGACACCATTACCATTGCCAACATGAACTTGATCTGGTCCTTTATAATCCTCAATCTGGTGAAACGGGGTGAGATCAGGAGTGATTTAATGCATCGCCCCGGTGTCAGGGAACCACTGCTGAGAAGGTGCGTTTGGAGTAGAATGCGATAGATAAGCCTCTAGATTAGTCGCTTGGCTGCAACGTTGAAAGAAATTTGGAGCAGTGTGGTTATGGCCATTACAAATTTGGCACTTTTGTTGCTGGTCGGTGGACTGCCAAGGTTGATTATAGGTGGAATAATTTCTGGAATTAAAGCGACCACCTCTGCCACCACGACCTCGATTGGGCCTTCCGCGACCTCTGTTAGTATTGTTGTTGTATGAACGATCGGGTTGTGCATTCTTGTGGGCCAAGTTTGCTGAAGGATGTTGGATTGATTCTGGTTGTTGCGGCATAGAAATTGAGAGGTTGGAAAGTGATGAGCCATTGATGAACTCATGGTTAAGAAGAAAACTATGCAATTCGACAAAAGTAACTGGTTGAGGTCGTGCCGATAAGGTAGTGACAATATCTTTAAATTCTGAACGCAATCCTCTGCATACGTAGATGTTATGGTCTGCGAGACATAAGGGGCGTCCAACAACGGTCAACTCATCTGAAATCAGTTTTGCCGTGTGTAGATATTGTGTGACAGTTAGATCATCTTGCTTCAGGTTTTGAAGCTGCATATGAAGGCTCAAAATTCGACTGTTGGAGGGAGAAGACAGCGCAGCCTCAAGCACGTCCCAAACTGCTTTCGAAATGTTTAGTCCGACGGCAATGGGAAGTGTCTCTTCTGATAGGGAGGATATGAGTAGACTCAATATTAATTGATCTTGCTGTATCCATACTGCATAATCAGGGTTAATAGTTGTTGTTTGGGATCCATCACCTGTGGCATTAGCAACTGAGACATGGGATGGTGGGCAAGGGTGACTACCATCGATAAATCCATGAAGATTTTGGCCACGGAGAAATGGCAACAATTGTGTGCGCCAAAAAAGATAATTTGTGGCAGTTAATTTTATGGAGATAAAGTTGTGAGCATGGTTAAGTGAAGTCGGAGAAGAGAAAAGAGAGGTAGACTGGGTAGTGGCATAAGAAGTACTCGAGGCGGAAGAAGAGATCATCATGGCTCTAATACCATGTAAAAGCACCAGAAAAAGAGAAGTCGAAGAACTGATTTTGCTATTGTTTCTATCTTTTTATTGATACAGAATATTTGGATGCAAATATATACAATAAGTCTATACAATTTGATAAGGATTAAGAGATACAGTTATACTAGGATACAAGTTAAGAATAGCTAAAACCTATCCCTTATCCGACTGGGAAGGACACAGTCTCATACCCTTCATTGGGGAAACCTTCAGAAATACCCATTCATCTTCTTTGAACTCCAAATCTATGTGAAGAACGTCCGAGTAAGACTTTTGACGACTTTGAGCAGTTTTCAACCTCTCTTTAATAATCTTGACTTTCTCCATAGCCTGGTACATGAGGTTCGGTCCTATCAATTTAGCTTCTCCAACCTCGAACCACCCAATGGGAGACCTACATCTCTTACCATATAATGCCTCGAATGGTGCCATCTAGATACTAGCATGGAAGCTGTTGTTGTAAGCAAATTCTATGAGTGGAAAATGGTCATCCCAGATACCCTTGAAATCAAGAGTACAAGCATGCAACATGTCCTCAAGTGTCTGAATAGTCCACTCTGCTTGCCCGTCGGTTTGAGGGTGAAAAGCTATGCTAAGATTTATCTGTGTGCCCAAACCTTGCTGAAATTTCTTCCAAAGGTTGGCTGTGAACTGAGCCCGTCGATTTGAGATGATTGAGACTGGAGTGCCATGTAACCTGACTATTTCTTTGATATACAACTGAGCATACTATTTCGCTGTGTCGGTAGATTTAACTGGCAAGAAGTGCGCTGATTTCGTGAGTGGATCCACAATCACTCAAATTGAGTCGAACTTGCGCGGAGTGCGCGGTAACCCTACCACAAAATCCATGTTAATCATCTCCCATTTCCACATTGGAATTTCTATTCTTTGAGCCAATCCCCCGGGTCGTTGATGTTCAGCCTTCACTTGCTGACAGTTCGGACATCTAGACACAAAGTCCGCCACATCCCTTTTCATCTTATTCCACTAATAACCTCCTTGAGATTATGATACATTTTTCTAGAACCTGGGTGCACGGAATACCTGGAAGGGTGAGCTTCTGCCATGATCCTTTCCCGAAGACCGTCAATATAAGGAACACATAGGCGGTCTTGGTACCGCAGGGTACCATCATTCCTGCCAAAGGAAAAAGCTGTGGTCTTGTGTTTATGAATCCCCTCCTTCAGTTGTGCTAACAACGGATCGTTGAATTGCTTCTCTTTCACATCCGCCATAAGCGATGATTCAGCCCTATTCTGCATAGTTACCCCTCTTTCATCAGTGTTTGCAAGGCGAACTCCGAAACTAGCCAACTGGTGGACCTCCATGGCCAACAACCTCTGATATGCCTCCAAATGAGCCAGACTTCCCATAGATTTTCGACTAAGAGCATCTGCCACAACATTAGCCTTTCCCGGGTGATAGAGAATATCAATGTCATAGTCCTTAAGTAACTCTAGCTATCTTCTTTGCCTCAGATTCAACTCTTTCTGCTTGAAAATATATTGAAGGCTCTTATGATCCGTAAATACATCCATATGGACCCCATACAAATAATGTCGCCAAATCTTTAGTGCAAACACCACTGCCACTAGCTCTAAGTCATGGATTGGATAGTTCTTTTCATGATTCTTGAGTTGTCTAGAATCATAGGCTATAACCTTAATGTGTTGCATTAACACACATCAAAGCTCGATCCTCGAAGCATCGCAATACACCACAAATCCCTCCGTACCCTTTGGCAGGGCTAATACCGGTGCTGTTGTCAACCTTGATTTCAATTCTTGGAAACTCCTTTCACAAGCATCAGACCATTAAAATTTAACTGCTTTCTACGTCAATTTAGTCAATGGAGAGGCAAGATTAGAAAACCCCTCCACAAATCTCCTGTAGTACCCAACCAAACCTAAGAAACTGCAAATCTCTATTGTAGTGGTAGGCGTATGCCAATTCTTCACTGCTGCAATCTTTTGAGGATCAACCATAATTCCTTACCCAGAAACGACATGGCCCAAGAACGTGACGGATTCAAGCCAAAATTCACATTTTGAAAATTTTGCATACAATTGATGTTGCTGAAGGGTCTGCAAAACTGCCCTGAGATGGTCCGCACGGTCCTCCCGACTTTGGGAATACACAAGAATATCATCAATGAACACTATCACAAAGGAGTCTAGAAAAGGCTTGAAGACTCGATTCATAAAATCCATGAAGGTTGCCGAGGCATTTGTTATCCCAAAAGACATCACCATAAATTCAAAGTGCCCATACCGAGTTCTGAAAGCTGTTTTTGGAATATCCTGGTCTCTTATCTTCAATTGATGGTACCCGGACCGTAAGTCAATCTTTGAGAAACATGTAGCACCTTGCAATTGGTTAAACAAGTCATCTATTCTTGGTAGAGGGTATTTGTTTTTGATTGTAACTTTGTTGAGTTGCCGGTAGTCAATACACATCCGCAACAATCCATCTTTATTTCTTACAAACAAGACCGATGTGCCCCACTGTGACACACTCGGCCGGATGAAACCCTTTTCTAGCAAATCCTTCAATTGTTCCTTTAGCTCTTTTAGTTCCGCCTGTGCCATTCTATAAGGTGGAATTGATATAGGCTGCGTGCCTAGCATCACATCGATCCCAAAGTCAATCTCCTTGTATGTATGGCTAAAACCCCCTCTTCTTAGAAATTGAGCTCCTATGGTGTCCTTGCATATGTTGTAAGTCCGGAATTTGATTTATATAGTATTTGTTATTTCAAAGGATTTGGTGTTGCAAGAATATATGTGAAAGGTGTGTCTCAATGTGTTCAATGTGCTATTCTTGGTAATTGGGGATATGTGAAGAATGTGAATTATATGCTAAATTGCCGAGATTTCAAGTCAAGTTAAATTGTGATTATTATGCCGAATCATGGGAATTTTATTGAGCGCCGGTCGCGCCTCCCGAGGTCGGAGCATGATAGGTGTGACACTTTGGTCGCAGAAGCAACATTTGGACTAGAGCTGGGAAGGCCATAGATGTGAGGAAATTTCTGCATATACAGGCTAATTTTCCGCAGAAGTGAAAACGAGCTAGGCAAGCTAAAGTTGTAGAAGTGGAAAGGCTCCGTATGTGTGAGTGCGCAGGAGCAATGGTTAATCGTAGAAGCGGTCACGCAGGAGCGAAAGTGGTCTATAGAAGTTGATTTGCCTGGGCTTAGAAGGAACCACACCTGTGATGGATGTTTCCACAGGGGTGGAGCCGCAGAAGCAGGTATTTGTCCGCAGATATCTCTGGGCAGAGGGTATTATAAATCGAGACTTAGCTCTCATTTCTCTCATTTTTCACTTGGATGGCCGAATTTGGGGAGTTATTTTGAGAATATTTTCATCGAGAAACACTTGGTAAGTTACTCCAATTGTAAGTTAAATTCATGGATTCCATAAGGATGTAAACATGGAAATGGGTGGAAATTATGGGATTTTGGTAGGAAACCTAGAATTGATAATTTTGGATTTTGACCACGATTTTGGAAATGGAATTAGGAATAAATTATATGTTTGAGTTCGTAATGTTATAGGTAATGTTTATCTTCGAAAATTTTCGAAATATGGCTACGTGGGCCCGAGTGTTGACTTTGTTAACTTTTTGAGCGAAGGTGGGAATCATTATTAATTGTTAAATTATATGCATTGGGGTATATTTTGACTGATTTACACATTCTTTGACTAGTTTCGGATTCGTTGGCCATCGGTTTGAGGTGATAGAGGGGCGTTGGAGCTAGTTATAGAACTTTGGAGTGAGGTAAGTCTCCTGTCTAACCCAGTGAGGGGGAAATTTACCCCGTAGGTGTTGTTCTTGTTGTATGATACATGTTGTGCGAGCTACGCACATATGAGGTGATGAGTGTCCGTGCATATGCCATAATTCTTGATTATGTATAGTAGACTTAGGTTCACGCCATGCTTTAATTGTACTATATGAGCTATCCTTGCCTATTTAATTCCTTTATTTTGCGTTGCAACTTGAGACTAGGCTTACGTAGAGTGATAGACTCGCTATGGTAGAGATTTGACGAGCTAGTTGATTAGCCATGGAATAATTGTGCTTCCCTTATGAATTCCTCCCGCATTGTGCGTTGTCATTAAAAAGCTTCCTTAAATTTCATAACTCACACGTATATTAGTAAGTGGGTCAAGGAAACATTAAAGCTTCTTATTCTAATAGGATCGGATTGTTCTCCTCAACAGGATTATGTACCACATTCTTATGGGATCGGGCCGTTCGCCTCAACAGTATCATATTCTTATGGGATAGGGTCGTTCACCTTGGTAGTAGCATATTCTTATGGTATCAGGCCGTTCGCCTTGGCAGTATCATATTCTTATGGGATCGGGCCGTTCGCCTTGACAATATCATAGTCTTATGGGAGCAGGTCGTTCGCCTCAGCTATATTATACTGTTATGTGATCGGGCCATTCGCCTTGACATTTCTATAAAGTACTCTTATGGGATTGGGTCGGTTGCCTCGGCAACTTCATGAAATACTCTTATTGGATCGAATCATTCTCCTCGGCAGAATCATGCATAATATTTGACAAGAAGCCAGCATATCCGTGAGCTTCTTGATTTGAGTTGTGACGACCTATTAGGTGGGGACCATTTTATATATACTCCGATTGAGGAGGTAACCGATAACTGAGAGCTTGTGTTTACTGTTCAGAGGAGGATATTACCATGTACTTATATTAGTTTATACTGTTTATTTACCATGCCTCATACTTGCTTAATTTCTTCTGTATTTGATTTATTGGACCACTAGTAAGTGTCAATGTCGACCCCTCGTCACTACTTCTCCAGGGTTTGGCTAGATACCCACTGGGTACACGTTGATTTACATACTCATGCTACATTTCTGCACTTATTATGCAGGTATATATTTCTGGTGGTCTTTTGGGCACAAAGGCACAGCTATTGCGGGGACTTTATGGTGAGTTGCACCCCTTGTTAAGATCCGCAACATACAGAGTCACTATCAGAATTATTCATATTTTTCCTGTCTAATTTGTATTCTAGACAAATGTTGTATTGTCATTATACCTTCTAGTAGATGTTCATGCACTTGTGACACCGAGTTTTTGGGGGAGTTCTAGAATTTGTTTATGGATTATTTTACATTGATAGACTTTTACTTATTATTTTAATTAAATTGTACGTAACTATGATTATTTTAATGAACTGACCTCTCTATTTAAATAAGATTCATGATTTTTTTAGAACAATAAAATGAATAATTGTCACGATCCTAAACCCGGACCCAGTCGTGATGGCGCCTCTTGTGAAGACAAGGCCAACCGACACTTCCCATTTCAGTTTTAAAAAATTAAACAATAAGATTCAAGTTTAAAGCATGATAAAATAATCCAAAGTAGTACATAATAGCATAATTTGCGGAATACAACCCCACACAGCCCGATACCAAGGTGTCACTAGTCACGATCATCTATCAATCCTAATACAAGTCTGAAAAGTCTATAAGCTAGTACAAAATGTTTGATAAGGAGATAGAAATGCTAAAGGGGGAGAAATACGGGACTGCGGATGCCAAGCAGCAACCTCGTGGACTCCGAAGTCTCCCGAGAGCTCTCAACTTGCACTAGTAGGATCATCAACGCCTAAATCTGCACGCAGGGTGCAGGGAGTAAAGCGAATACTCCAACTCAGTGAGTAATAATCATAAATAAAGACTGAAAGTAGGAAATCACGTAAGACACATTACAGGCTATAACGAAGTAGTAAAACCAGTAAAAACAGTAAATCAATATAGATATGTGAAAGTCATTTAAATTCAACTTAACTTCATGAAAGCCTTTTCAACAATTAAGCAAATAAATGACAGGCAATTAAGAAAGATAACCACAATAAGGTTCCCCCCTCGAGCAATATTTTAGAACAATACCATCCCCTCGAGCTACGTCTCACGTCACAATGGGTACCCACGCTCATTGGGGGTGTGCAGACTCCTGGAGGGGCCCCTTACGGCCCAAACGCAATATCAAATCATCTCGTGGCATCATCACTAGGCTCTCGGCCTCATATCAACAACCCATCTTATGGTGTATATATCTCAGGCCCTCAGCCTCATACTCATAATCTGGTGTTTCCTCACAACATAGGCCCTCGGCCTTACTCAGTCAAAATCCTCACAAGCCACTCGGGAAAGAGTAAAACATGATTTTTCAGCCCAAATCTCATTTAAAAGATCATTTAAGTGTTAAAACAGAGTAAACATGGCTGAGTATGAAAACATTGGAGTATAACATGACTGAATTCAAGTATAAAGTCAAAACAATGAGGAAATATCAATAAAAATCCCCGAAGGGTTGAAATAGTTGGCACGAGGCCCAAATATGGCATTCAACCCAAAACATGATGATAACAAATAGATTTCAGTCAAATACGCGGTAAAATAATCATTTGGGATAGACTAAGTCACAATCCGCAACAGTGCACGACCCCATGCTCGTCATCAAGCGTGTGCATCACCTCAATATAGCACAACGATGTGAAATCCGGGGTTTCATACCCTCAAAACATCATTTACAATCATTACTCACCTCAATCCTGTCAAATCTCTAGCCCGCGACGCCTTTGCCCCTCGAATCGTCCTCCACTCGCGTCAAATCTATCCAAAATCAGAATCACGACGTCATAATATGCTAAGGGAACGAAGCCCAAGCGAAAACAATCAATTTACAATATAAATCCCGAAATTACCAAAACCCGACCCCCGGGCCCACGCCTCATAATTCGATAAAATTCACATCTATGGATTCCTTATTTCCCCACGAGTTCATACATATAAAAAGTACCAAAATTCGACCACAATAGGTCCCTCAAATCCTCAAGTCTAGGTCTCCAATACCAAGCCCTAGTTTCCCCAATTTTAACCCTTAAATTCTATTAATTATAGCTCTAATCCATGAAATAATACCATAGGAACGAGTTTTAGGTCCAAAATCCTTACCTCAATGAAGTTCCCTTGAAATCCCTCATCAAAATCATCCAAAAAGCTCCAAAGAGGACATAGAAATGGTGAAATAGCTCAAAAAATTGTGAAGGAAATAATTTATATCTTTTGGGCCAGGCATTTTCGCATCTGCGGCCATATTCCCGCTTCTGCGGTCAAGACTACCGCATCTGCGGTCCTCACTTAAGTCCCTATTTTCCGAATCTGCGATGAAATATAACGCACTTGCGCCTTCGCAGATGCTGTTCCACAACCGCTTCTATCCTGCCAACTTCACCAGCTTCTGCTTCCGTGACCAATCTTCTGCATATGCGATGTCGCACCTGCGGTCCCCAATCCGCAGGTGCGGAAATACCAGAAGCAGCCCAAGATCTGCAGCTCACCAAAAACTCCAACTCTCCGTCAACCATCCGAAATTACCCCGAGGCCCCCGGGACCTTAACCAAAAGCACAAACATAACCCATACCCTTATTCTAACTTAAACCAATCTTCAAAACTCCTCAAATAACATCGAATCAACCAAAACCCATTGGATTCAAGCCAAAGTTTCCAAAATCTTCCAAATTCCGCTTTTGATAAAAAAACCCAACCAAACCACATCCGAATGACCTGAAATTTTGCACACGCATCCCAAATGACACCACAGAACTACTACAACTCTCAAAATTCCATTCCGACCCCTATATCCAAATCTCACCTACCAACCGTAAATCGCCAAAATATCAACTTCGCCTGAATCTACTCCGAACCTCCAAAACTCATTCCGATCACGCTCCTAAGTACCAAATCACCTCCCGAAGCTATCCGAACCATCAGAACTCACATCCGAGTCCTCTAACACATAAGTCAACATCCGGTTGACTTTTCCAACTTAAGCTTCCTCAAAAGAGACTAAGTGTCTCAAACCTTACCAAATCTTTTCTGAACCCAAGCCAACCAACCCGATCACATATAGAACTGACAGACAAAGCAATAAGAAGCAAAAATGGGGGAAACAGAGTGGTAACTCATGAGATGACTCAAACAGAGTCGTCACATCCTCCCTAACTTAAACAAACGTTCGTCCTCGAACGAGTCAAGAAACATACCTGAAGCCTCAAACAGGTGAGGATATTTGCTCCGCATCTCCCGCTCGGTCTCCCAGGTAGCCTCCTCCACGGGACAACCTCTCCACTGCACTTTTACTGAAGCTATATCCTTTGATCTCAACTTTTGAACCTGATGCTCCAAAATAGATGCTAGCTCCACATCATAAGTCAAATTACCATCCAACTGAACCGTGATGAAATCCAAAACATGAGACAGATTCCCAATATACTTCCAGAATATAAAAACATGAAATATTGGATGCACACTCGACAAGCTGGGTGGCAAAGCAAGCTTATAAGCCACCCCCAATCCTCCGAAGTACCTCAAAAGGCCCAATGAACCGAGGACTCAACTTACCTTTCTTCCCAAATCTCATAACCCCCTTCATGGGCGAAACCTTCAATAGAGCCTTCTCGCCAACCATGTAGGACACATCCCGAACCTTCCGATTAGCATAACTCTTTTTCCTCGACTGCCCTATACGAAGCCTCTCCTGAATCACCTTCACCTTTTCTAAAGCATCCTGCACCAAAGTTTATCCCCAATAGCCTAGCCTCACCTGGCTTGAACCAACCAACTGTAGATCTATACCGCCTCCCATATAAAGCCTAATATGTAGCCATCTGAATACTCAACTGGTAGTTGTTGTTATCAGCAAACTCTGCAAGTGGTAGAAACTAATCCTATGAACCTCCGAAATCAATGACACAAGCACGTAACATATCATGCAATATCTAAATAGTATGCTCGGACTGCCCGTCCATCTGAGGGTGAAAAGTTGTGCTCAACTCAACCTGAGTACCCAACTCTCGCTGCACAGACCTCCAAAACGGTGATGTAGACTGAGTGCCCCTATTAGAGATGATGGACACTGGGACACCATGAAAATGAACAATCTCCCGGATATAGACCTCTGCCAACCGCTCTGAAGAATAGGTAGTACACACAGGAATAATGTGTGCGACTTGGTCAACCGATCCACAATTACCCAAATAGCATCGAACTTCTTCAAAGTCCGTGGAAGTCCAACTACAATATCCATAGTTATCTGCTACCACTTTCACTCTGGAATATCCATCCACTAAAGCAAGCCACCCGATCTCTGATGCTCATATTTCACCTGCTGAATATGGAGACACCGAGCTACAAATCCCATAATGTCTTTCTTCATTCTCCTCCACCAATAATGCTGCCTCAAATCCTGATACATCTTTCCGGCACTCGGATGAATGGAATACCGCGAGCTATGGGCCTCCTCTAGAATCAACTCCCGAAGCCCATCCACACTAGGCACACAAATTCGGCCCTGCATCATCAACACCCCATCATCACCAATGGTCACATCTCTGGCATCATCGTGCTGAACTCTATCCTTAAGGATAAGCAAATGCGGATCATCATACTGGCGCTCTCTGATTCGATCATATAAGGAAGATCGAGAAACCACACAAGACAATACCCGACTGGGCTTCGAAATATCTAACCTCATGAACCGATTGGCCAAGGCCTGAACATCAACTGCAAGAGGTCTCTCCCCAACTGGAATATATGCCAAACTACCCATACTCACTGCCTTTCGGCTCAAAGCATCGGCCACCACATTGGCCTTTCTCGAATGGTACAATATAATGATATCATAATCCTTAAGCAACCCCAACCACCTCCGCTGCCTCAAATTTAGATCCTTCTGCTTGAATAAGTGCTGAAGACTACGATTATCAGTAAACACCTCATATGACACATCATACAAGTAATGCCTCCAAATCTTCAACGCGTGAACTATGGCAACCAACTCCAAATTATGAATGGGGTAGTTCTTCTCATGGGGCTTCAACTGGTGAGAAACATAAGCAATAACTCTACCTTCATGCATCAAAACACAACCAATACCAACTCTCGAAGCATCACAATACACGGTATATGAACCTGAAGCTAATGGCAAAACTAACACTGGAGTTGTGGTCAAGGCTATCTTGAGCTTCTGAAAGCTCTCTTCACACCCATCCGACCACACAAATGGAGCACCCTTCTGAGTAAACATGGTCAAGGGCGATGCGATAGACGAGAACCTCTGAACAAACCAGCGATAATAGCCTGCCAAACCAAGAGAGCTATGAATCTCTATGGCTGAGGATGGTCTAGGCCAACTCTGAACCGACTCTATCTTCTTCGGATAAACCTGAATACCCTCGCTGGATACCACGTGCCCCAAGAAAGCCACTGAACTGAGCCAAAACTCACACTTGGAGAATTTTGCATAAAGCTTCTCATCCCTCAATCTCTACAACAAAACTCTCAAATGCTCTGCGTGCTCCTCCTGACTACATGAATACACTAGAATATTATCAATGAAGACTATGACAAACGAGTCAAGATAAGGCCGGAACATGCTGTTTATCAAATGCATGAATGCTGCTGAGGCATTGGTCAGCGCAAAAGACATCACCAAGAACTCATAATGACCATATCGGGTCCTGAAAGCCGTCTTAAGAATATCCGAGTCCCTGATCTTCAACTAGTAATAACCTGAACAAAGATCAATCTTGGAGAAAACTCTCGCTCCCAGAAGCTGGTCGAATAAATCATCAATGCAAGGTAAAGGATACTTGTTCTTAACTGTTACTTTGTTCAATTGCCTATAATCAATACACATCCTCATAGTTCCATCCTTCTTCTTCACAAATAGAACCGGCGCACCCTAAGGTAACACACTAGGGCGAATGAACCCCTTATCAAGGAGTTCCCGAAGCTGCTCCTTTAACTCCTTCAACTCTGCCGGTGCCATACGATACAGCGGAATAGAAATGAGCTAAGTTCCCGACACCAGGTCAATACCAAAATCAATATCCCTATCCGGTGGCTTGCCTGACAGGTCTGCAGGAAACACATCGGGAAAATCTCTCACAACTGGAACTGAATCAATACTAGGGGTCTCAACACCGACATCCCTCACAAACGCTAGATACGAAAGACAACCCTTCCCAGCCATATGTCGGGCCTTCAAGAATGAGATCACTCTATTGGGAACATAATAAGTCTTGGCATGATAGTCCAGAATAGCACGACACGCAGATAGCCAATCCATGCCCAAAATAATATAAAAATCCACCATACACAATAATAAATGATCCACTCGGGTCTCCAAACCCCCAATAGTCACCACACACTACCGGTACACACGATCTACAACAACAGTATCACCTACCAGGGTAGATACATGAATAGGTGAAGCAAGAGACTCACAGGGCGTACCCAAATAACGAGCAAAGTATGATGACACATAAGAAAAGGTGGAACCAAGATCAAATAATACAGAGGCATCTCCGTGGCAGACTGAAACAATACATGTAATGACAGCATTGGAAGAAATAACATCGGGTCTAGCTGGAAGTGCATAGAAACGGGTCTGACCACTACCTGATCGACCTCTCCCTATGGGGAAACCCCTAGCTGACTGACCTCCACCCCTAGCTGGCTAAGCAGGGGTGATGAAGTAACTAGCGCTGAAGCCGATGACTGACCCCTCTGCTGAGATGGACCCGCAATACGACAAGGATACTGCCTCCACATATGGCCCATCTCTCACACTCATAGCAACTCCCAGGTACTGGAGATGGGGACTGAAGGGAACCCCTCACACCAGAGTGACTAATAGATACACCTGGCATAGAAGAGCCCTAAATTGATGGAGCACGAGACGAACTCTGAGCTGGAAGGGCACTATGTGATGACTGACCCTGATGAGAACTGTGAGAACTATGATCCGATGATGCCCCACGATAACCTGGGTGAGCTGGATGGGCATGCCTGAATGGACGACCTCTGCCGTGCTAAAACTGACCTCTCGATGGAGTACCACTATAACTACCAGATCCTCGAGGCCTTTTGGCCTACCTCTCCTCTCACTCCTGGCGATGAACATACTCAATCTCACAAGCAATATACACAACCTCCTCAAAAGAAGCACCATCCACCCTCTCCTTGGTCATTAGAATACAAAGCTGATAAGTGAGGCCATCAACAAACCTCCTAATCCTCTCTCTATCTGTCGGAACCATCCAAAGGCATGACGAGCTAACTCGGAGAACCTCAACTCATACTGCAACACAGTCATCTCTCCTTGATGCAACCACTCAAACTGCCTACGCAGCTCCTCTCTGCGAGACTGCAACACATACTTCTCCAGAAAGAGAACGGAGAACTGCTACCAGGTAAAGGGTACTGCACTAACAGGCCTACGCCTCTCAAAATCCTCCCACCAAGTGAAGGCAGCTCCAGAAAACTGATAAGTAGTAAAAGCGGCCCCGCTGGTCTCCAGAATACTTGTTGTACGAAGCATCCTCTGACACTTATCCAAGAAACCCTAGGCATCCTCGCCCTCTGCACCACTGAAGGTTGGAGGCTGAAATCTACCAAACCTCTCCAACCTACGCCGCTCGTCCTCTAGCATGGCATGAACTACATAGTCCTAATCAACTACAACTGGTTGGGCTGGATGTGCCCCCGGTGTCTGAAGTACCTGCACGACCTGCTCAAGTGTGTGAGCGGGGGAAGTCTGATTGCCTACCCCGGCCTGAGAAGTAGCTGCGGTTGTAGTAGCTGAGACCGCTTGAGCTAGGCCACTACAAACTGATAGAATCTAAGATAAGGCCTCCTGAAAACCCGAAATCACATTGGGCACAACTGGTACCTGAGCTGGTACTACTGGAGCTTCCCTAACTGGGACCTGATCCTAAACTAGGGCGGCTGGTGGATCTGCAGGTGCTGCCCTAGCTGCTGTGCGGGCCATACCTCTGCTCATACCGCATCCTCAGCCTCTAATGACCACAGCTAGTGGTACTGGTAGTTGTCCATCCTAACCAGTAACGCGTGTCCTCACCATCTGTGAGAGAATAGAATAACAAAAGTTTAGTACTCGGATCAACAAATTTGCATGACAAGAATTACAAGAATATGAAGTATTCTTAAAGGTTCTGCAGCCTCTTAAGGATAAATACAGATGTCTCTGTACCGATCCGTAAGACTCTACTAAACCTTCTCATGACTCATGAGGCCTGTGTAACCTAGGCTCTGATGCCAACTTGTCACGACCCTAAACTCGGACCCAGTCGTGATGGATCCTCGCGTGAAGATAAGGCCAGCCGACACTTCCCATTTCAGTTTTAAATAATTAAACAATAAGATTCAAGATAAAAGCATGATAAAATAATCCAAAGTAGCAGATAATAGCATAATTTGCGGAATACAACCCCACACAGCCCGATACGGGGTGTTACTAGTCATGAGTATCTATCAATCCTAATACAAGTCTAAAAAGTTTATAAGCTAGTACAAAATGTCTGATAAAGAGATAGAAATGATAAAGGGAGAGAAACACGGGACTACAGATGCCAAACAACTACCTCGTGGACTCCGAAGTCTGTTGGGAGCTCTCAACTCGCACTGGCAGGATCAGCAACGCCTGAATCTACACATGGGGTGTAAGGAGTAAAGTGAGTACTCCAACTCAGTGAGTAATAATCATAAATAAATACTAAAAGCAGGAAATCACGTAAGGCACATTACATGCTATAACGAAGCAGTAAAACCAGTAAAAATAGTAAATCAATACAGATATGTGAAAGTCATTTAAATTCAACTTAACTTCATGAAAGCCTTTTCAACAATTAAGCAGGTAAATGATAGGCAATTAAGAAAGATAAACACAATAAGGTTCGCCCCTCGGGCAATATTACAAAACAATACCAGCCCCTCGGGCTACATCTCACGTCACAATGGGTACCCGCGCTCACTGGGGGTGGGCAAACTCCTGGAGGGGCACCTTATGACACAAGCGCAATATCAAGTAATCTCTGGCATCATCACTAGGCTCTCAGCCTCATATCAACAAGCCATGTCGTGGCGTACATATCTCAGGCCCTCGGCCTCATACTCATAATCTGGTGTTTCCTCACAACATAGGCCCTGGGCCTTACTCAGTCAAATCCTCACAAGCCACTTGGGCAATAGTAAAACATGATTTTTAAGCCCAAATCTCATTTAAAAGATCATTTAAGTGTTAAAACAGAGTAAACATGGCTGAGTATGAAAACATTGGAATATAACATGACTGAGTTCAAGTATAAAGTCAAAACAGTGAGGAAATATCAATAAAAATCCTCGAAGGGTTCAAATAGTTGGCACGAGCACTAAATATGGCATTCAGCCCAAAACATGATGATAACAAATAGAATTCAGTCAAATACGCGGTAAAATAGTCATTTGGGACGGACTAAGTCACAATCCCCAATAGTGCACGACCCCACGCTCGTCATCAAGCGTGTGCGTCACCTCAATATAGCACAACGATATGAAATCCGGGGTTTCATACCCTCAAAACATCATTTACAATCATTAATCACCTCAATTCGGTCAAATCTCTAGCCCGCGATGCCTTTGCCCCTCGAATGGGCCTCTACTCGCATCAAATCTATCCAAAATCAGAATGACGGCGTTATAATATGCTAAGGGAATGAAGCCCAAGTGAAAACAATCAATTTACAACATAAATCCCAAAATTACCAAAGCCTGACCCATGGGACCACGCCTCAAAATTCGTTAAAATTCACATCAATGGTTTCCTTATCTCCCCACGTGTTCATACATATCAAAAGTACCAAAATCCGACCACAATAGCTCCCTCAAATCCTCAAGTCTAGATCTCTAATACCAAGCCCTAGTTTCCCCAATTTTAACCCTTAAATTCCATTAATTATAGCTCTAATCCGTTAAATAATACCATATGAACGAGTTTTAGCTCCAAAATCCTTACCTCAATGATGTTCCCTTGAAATCCCTCTTCAAAATCATCCAAAAAGCTTCAAAGCCGACATAAAAATGGTGAAATAGCTCAAAAATTGGGAAGGAAATAATTTATACCTTCTGGCCCAGACATTTTTGCATCTGCGGCCAAATTCCCTCTTCTGCGGTACCGCTTTTGCGGTCCTCACTTAAGTCCACATTTTCTGCATTTGCGATGAAATATACCGCACATGCGCCTTTGCAGATGCGGTCCCACAACCGCTTCTACGGTTCCTGCCAACTTCACCAACTTCCGCTTCTGCGACCAATTTTCCACATATGTGACGTCGCACCTGCGCTCCCCAATCCGCAGGTGTGGAAATACTAGAAGCAGCACAAGATCTGCAGCTCACAAAAAATTTCAACTCTCCGTCAACCATCTAAAATCACCCGATGCCCCTGGGACCTCAACCAAAAGCACAAACATAACCCATAATTATATTCAAACTTATACTAATCTTCAAACTCCTCAAACGACATCGAATCAACCAAAACACATCGGATTCAAGCCTAAGTTTCCAAATTCCTCTTTTGATCATAAACCCAACCAAAACACGTCCGAATGACCTGAAATTTTGCACACACATCCCAAATGACACCACAGAACTACTGCAACTCTCGTAATTCCTTTCCGACCCCTATATCAAAATCTCACCTACCAACCGGAAATCGCCAAATATCAACTTTGCCAATTCAAGCCTAAATCTACTCCGAACCTCCAAAATTTATTCCGATCACGCTCCTAAGTCCCAAATCACCTCCCGAAGCTATCCGAACCATTGGAACTCACATCCGAGCCCTCTAACATATAAGTCAACATCCAGTTGGCTTTTCCAACTTAAGCTTCCTCAAACGAGACTAAATGTCTCAAACCTTACTAAATCTTTTTCGAACCCAAGCCAACCAACCCGATCACATATAGAACCAATAAACAAAGTAAGAAGAAATAGAAATGGGGGAAACAAATCGGTAACTCATGAGATGACTAGCCGGGTCGTCACAATAATTATGTGTTGGCTTGCCTAATGGTGACGTGGGTGCCATCACAACCTATATTGGATTTTGGGCTGTGATAACTTGGTATCAGAGAGTTAGGTTCACTTAGGTCTCACAATTCATGAGCAAGTCTAGTAGAGTCTTGTGGATCGGTATGGAGATATCTGTACTTATCTTCGAGAGGCTACAGGGTTGTTAGGAGCACTTCTCTTCTTGATTCCTCATCATGCGATTTGATACCATTGAGGCTTATGCCTTTGTTTCCTTCCTACTCATTCTTATACAGTGTTGAGCGCTTGTCATAAATGGGTCATCGAGGAGTTGTAATAGTATCGCTGATGTGGTGCAGGAAGTTTCTCCATACATATTTGAGTGGGCTATTATCATCGCCATGTGGAGGGGTGTTCTATCATTTTAGCCAAGTATTTGTGTTGCCTATGGTTGAGATTGGAGACTTTCGAATTTGGAGGAATTCTTGTTAATATTATGGTGTCACCGTCATTGATTGAATGTGTTGATGCTCGTCGGCATGTTGGTCTTCATTTGTTTGCCTCTGGACACGGTGTGGTGAGAGGGAACCTATGAGGAAGTTATCCGAGATGGTTGTGTGCTACGACTTTAGGACCAAATCGACATTTCCAGTGTTGATGGATCGAAGGAGATGATCTCTGAGGTGGTTTCTTTGCCTAGGAAATTTTGAATGTGGAAAGAGGAGCTTGATAATATATTTGACCTTTGGGTGA